TTTTCTATTATGTGTTTAGTCATTCTGTTGTAAAGTATATGTCTGTGACTGGGCACACTGATTTCTGGTTCATGTGTTTTATTTCATTGTTCTTTGTATCTGCCTCTGAGTCAGTATTATGCTGTTTTTATATTATAATTCTACAATATTCCCCCCTCCTCTTTGTCTCAAGACTGTTTTGGCTTATAAGGGTTTCTTGTTCTTTCATATGGATTTAAAAGTTATTATTTTCTGTTTCTATGAAGAATATCTTTAGAATTTTCATAGGGATCTCCCAGATTATCAATGTTGCTTTTGGTAAAATGGCCATTCTCAAAGTGCTAATCCTGATGATAACAAACTTTGGATGCTTTTCTATCGTCTTCCTCAGTGATTTGTATTTTTTTTTAACTACAGAAGTCTTTCCCTTCTTTAATTAGGTTTATTCCTAGGTATCTTGTTTAGGAAGGTTGTGAAAATTCTGAGCAACATTACTTCCCTGGTTTGTTTCTTATTATATTTGTTGTGTAGAAAGCTATTCAATTTTGTTTTATCTTGCTACTTTTCTGAAAGTATATGCCAGATTTGATGGGGGGGGTGTCCTTCTGTATATATGTTTATCTTATTGGTTGATGAATAAAACACTGTTTGGCCAATAGCTGGTAGAAGCAGGAAGATAGATGGGATTAGGAGACAAGGAGAATTCTGGAAAGGGAAGTCATAGAGGCATCAGGAAGAGATGCCATGGAGGGACTGGGAGGATAGGATGGGCCAGGTGTTCTCCGGTAAGATAAGGCTATGGAGAAATACATAGATTAGTTGTTATGGGTAATAATTAAGATAGAGGTAGCTAGTAAGAAGCCCTAGCCATTGGCCAACAGTTTTATAAATTAATATAAGTCTTTGTGTGTTTATTTGGGGCTGAGAAGGGTGATGGGACCTGGTGGAACAAGATACTACAGCAACACAGATATAAGATTTTTCTGGTAGAATCTTTAGGTTTGTAAAGTGTGGTATCATATTGTTTATAAATATGGATTTTACTTATTCCTTTCCTATATATGTTTATTTCACTTCTTTCTCTTGTCTTATTGATTTGGATACAGTTTTAAGTACTAGATTGAATTATAGTAGATATGGCTGAGATTTTTGGCTTGTTCCTGATTTTAGACAAAATGCTTTTAAGCCTTTCCTTATTCAATGTAACCTTAACTGTAGATTTCTGTATATAACTGTGGTTAGGGTTTTCTTTGGGCCTCTAACTAGCTCCCAAATATAGGCATAGAGACTTATTATTCATTATGAATGCTTGGCTTTAGCTTAGGCTTGTTCTCAACTTGCTCTAATAACTTAATTTAAACTGTTTCTATTCATCTACATTTTGCTTTAGTTCTATTTACCTTTCTTTCATTCTGTATGTCTTACTTCCCTGCTTTCTCTGTGTCTGTCTGTTTGACCCCTGGCATCTCCTTGACATCTTTTTCTTTCTTTACCTAAGCCTAAATTTCTCCTCCTACTTACTCTCCCTACCTGGAAGTCCCACCTATACCCCTACCCTTGCTATTGGCCACTCAGCCTTTTATTAGACCAATCAGGTACCTTAAGCAGGCAAGTTAAAGCAGCAATACACCTTTACATAATTAAGCAAATGCCACACATATTTGCATAGTTAAATATTCTACAACATAAACATGGTTAAACAAATATTTGGCAACATATAACTTTCACTGTCTTGAGGTATTATCATTCTTTCTCTGATTTCTTCAGACAGGGAATTTTCCATAAAGGGATGTTGAATTTTTCTCCTAGGTATTTTTCATATGCTATGCTTTAGAAAAGATTTATTTATCTTAGTTTACATGCATAAATGTTTTGCCTGAATTTATGTGCACCTGGTGCATGCCTGTTGAATGGATTCTCTAGAAGAAGTGTTATAGATGCTTGGGACCTACTGTATGGGTTTTAAGAATCAAACCTAGGTCTTCTGGAGCATTAAGTGTTCTCCAGCCCAATTTTCTATATTTTTATACATTAATTCCTTAATGTGAACTGAGTATATTGAACTAGTCCTGTATCTAGAATGAACCCACTTCAATCATAGTGTTTGATGTCTTTGGTGTATTGTTGAGTTTTACATTTATGCTTACATTTATTTTTACCAAGGAAATTGGCTGATAGTTATTTTTTATGTCATTTCCTTATCTGGTTTTGGTGTCAGCGTAATACCAGTGTCATAGCATAAGTTTGCACACAGTCTGTTCTTTGGTGTTTCATGGAATAGCTTAGGAAGCATTGATGGTAGTTGAAAGACTTGGTCGAACTGCACAATGAATCTATCCAGTCCTGTTCTTTGCTTTGTTGGGAGACCTTTTATTGATGCTTTAGTTTCATTGTTCATTATTGATCTGTTTAGGCTTTTCATCTTCTTGAGTTAATTTTTGTACTTGATATGTACCTAGAAATTTATCCATTTCTTCCAGTGTTTTCAGTTTATCAGAATATATTTTTGAAAGGATTCCCCAAAGATCCTCTGGATTTCAGTGGTATCTGTTGCTTTTCCTCTACTTTTGCTAATTTCTTTCCTCTGTCTCTTCTGCTTTGTTTGATGAATCCTTTGTTAATACTGTTTATACATCCAAAGAACCAATTCTTTTGTTTCATTGATTCTTTCTATTTCTAGTGTAATTTCTATCCTTTCATCAAATTTATCATTGATCTTTATTTAACCTTTTCAAGCACTTATTTATCCTGTAAGAGATAATCTTCAGGATCTGGAAGAGAAGATCACATGTTTCGTGGCATATATGTATATGTTCCAGGACAAGTCAGTTCTCTCTTCCACTTTGTGAATACCAAAGATCAAACTCAGATCATTGGGCTTCATAGCAAGTGCCTTAACCCACTGAACCATTCCTTGAACCCCTTTATTATTTCTTTCCTTTTTAAAATTTTTATTTAAACTAATATTTCTTTCCTTTTTAAAGTTATATTTTATTGCTAATAATGGTTTAATTATGTTCCATTGTATGGATGTACCCCAGTTTGCTTATTAACTTATAAACTGATGAATATTTGAGTGTGTTTATATTTGGAGTTATAATCTTATATAATAACAAATGTTCTTGAACATCTATATACAAGCCTTTGTATAAGCATAGATTTTTGTTTAGTTTTGTTATATCCTTAGCATTATAATTTCTGATATTTAAGGAAATTATTTTACTGGATTTCCAAAGATTCTTGTTGCTTAAAATCAGAAAGCATGTCAGAGGGACAATGAGCTTGCTCTTTTATTCATTTAGTTTTCAGGAATTAGAAGGCTCTAGTAATGGTTAGAATTTCAAAGACAGTTCTCAATCATACTAAACTTAGAAAGTTCCTACTTTGATCCAGAGAGTCGTGGGAAACACAGCTTGTCAGAACGGAAAGGTTCTCAGTGTTCCAGGGTAACTCTGATAATGTAGCATTGTAAGTGAATGCTGTCATACTCTATCTGGACTATGCCAGATTGTTATTTCTGAAGTGTGGCTGGCTTCATCCTCTTAGAACTAAGTTCTCAGAGTTGAATCTAAGCGAAGTCTTGTCTTGGGGAATGCTCAGGAGGTTAAGTTGCTGTCACATGGGCTTTGTGTACTGACGATAACTCTGCTTATGGCTGAGCAGCATCACTGGAGTTGAGATTATTATACATAAGAGAAGCATTTGCTGTCTGTTTTCTTTTATCCCTTTGTGAGATTCCTGACTCAGTGCAGTTGCTAATGAAATGGTGCTTTGGGGACCTATGTAGAAGGCAGTCTGCAGGAATTGTTAATTATTTCTAAAAATAACTCCCAGAGACAGGCAAATGGTAATGACTAGGTTCTGGCACTTTATGGTTATAGCAGCCACTTTTCTGTATTTTGATTTCCTACCCTAATCCTAATTATCTCTGTGTGGACATTATGATGGTGTGTCATTGAAAGTATTAAAATTTTAAATAATTGCTTTACCGTTATATCTTTTAGAAAATATCAGAGTGCTAATCTTACATTCTTATCTTGATTCTCACAAAGCTGACTAACACAAAGCAACTGAAAAAAACTTCAAAATACAAAGTAAAGTGAAGCTACTGATTGTTGATTTTAGTGTCTTTATTTTCTATAGTAACAACTGCCAAGCCAAAAGAATGTTAATAAGATATTTGTCATGTCCCAATCGTCACATATTTCCACTAGAAGGCTTTAAGCTTTGTCTTGGAGAGTTAGCTGGGATAACAATTTTTAAAAGGTGTGTGTGTGTGTGTGTGTGTGTGTGTGTGTGTATGTGTGCACGTACATGCATATATGCCTGCTTGCAGCCATAGAGGATAGAAAAGTATGTTGGAGTACCTAGAGCTAGAGTTATAAATAGTTTTGAGTGGCCCAGCATGTGTCCTAGGATCCAAACTCAGGTCCTCTGGAAGAGCAGTAATTACTCTCATTCCCTGAACCCCTCTCTAGCCTTTAAATCACAAATTAAAATAAAAATTAGACAAGTCAAATATTTAATTATGATGCACATAATTTAAACATATTGAATATGTCAGTGTTGATATCTTACCACTGTGTGATGTATTTTATTAGTTTTCTATAATAATCATTGCTCATGCTGGCTTATGGTGATGTTCTTATTGTATTGCTATCAGTTCTTTAACTGGAACTAAGACCATACCAAGTAAACTTAGTAAAGTTTATCATTTAATTAGTCTGCAGTGTGTGTGTGTGTGTGTGGTTTTTTGAGACATGGTCTCTCTATGTAACCTTGGCTGTACTGGAACTCGACTGGCCTCAAACTCAAGGAGATCAACCTGGCTTTGCTGGGATTATAGATATGCTTCACCACACCTGCTGCTCATGAATATATTTTTAATTTTTCATTTTAGCTGTCTTTTGATATTAAAGAGTGATTGAGTATAAGACAATTTTTAAATCTTAACACAGAGTCAACAAAAAATTTTACGTGTTTTGTTGCCATCCTCTCTGACATGTCATTATTTACTCCAGATAAGGCCAGAAATGCCTGCTCCTGATGAGCTGGATGAAGAGGAAGTTGTGGACCTTTCCATTCCTGGCTCTTGCTATATCAGACTGTTGACCATCACTGCTTCTTCGGTTTTACCAGGTGACTATTTGGCAACCATAGTGCTACCATTTTTTAGTGATTTGCCTGTTTTATAAATTGTCGGAGTTTTTTGTTTGTTTGTGTGGTGTGTATATGCTGTAGTTTACTCTCATATAGATACTCTCATATAGCTAAGTACAACTGTGTTCTATATGAACTGTCTTAGGTAATATGGTTTTTGAACCATAATATAAACCACTAGATGACAGTAACATTGAGCTGGAAAATGAGTCTAAACAATTGTTCTTAATGATAACTAGAATTCATTTCAAAAGCAAAGTTTATTGTGTCAGACATATTTGCATTGGGACTGCAGGCTACTGCTTTAATTTCTATCTCCTTGCTATAAGCTAAGTTAGAAATTTTGTCATTCAACCTATAAGAGATTTACTGGGAGTTTTATCATTATGAATTTGTTCTTTCTTTTTTTTGTTTCTTATCATTTGTTTATTTGAATTACAAACAAGATTGAATTACATGACAATCCCAGTATTCTTTTTTTAAATTATTTATTTTATGTGTTTGGGTGTTTTGCTTGCATGTATGTTTATGTACCATGTGCATGCCTTGTGCCTGAGGAAATGTTAAAGACTATTGTGAGTTGCCACATTGGTTCAGGACCTAGAACGTGGGTCCTCTACAAGAGCAAGGACTCTTAACTGTGGTGGTATCTCTCTAAGCCATTTTTTTCTTTCTAAAGCACACTAATTGTGTCATTAACATTTTATAGTTATAAATCAATGCTCTTAAAAATTGGATCAAGGTGGTTGTACTGATGAACACAGGTTGGCTGTGCTGATGAGACACAGGCAGGTGGATCACAAGCTGGAAGGTGGGGCTATACTTTTGCCAGGCTTGGTGGATTTGAGGCTTACTTGGTCTGTGCAATGAGTTCCAGGCCAGCCAGGGCTACATAGGGAGACCATATCTTTTTATTTTATTTTTTTTTAATTTTAAGGATCAGATTATGTTGTCATTCAGCTTTGGATCATTTACCCTTTAAATGGCAAACTGTGCACATGTTTGATGCTTATACATATAAAATTTTCACTGCCCCTAAGAAACAGTAAGTTACTATAGCTTGACGTAAGGGATTATGGACTGTTATTAAAATTTTACATTATTTAAAAATTTATCTTCTGATTATTACTTAAAAGTCTGTAGATGACCCATTGTGATTAAAAGCCCTTCAATGTTAACCAACATTTTGCTTTGTATTCAAATCCCACCTTGAATATATATTCAAGGTAGAAAAAAATATGTAAACATTTAAGTTCTGAGTATGAGGTTTAATAGAATGTTACTATATTCTCTCAAGTTAGTCCTTGTAATGTGATTATAGTAATCTGTAATGCTATCTTTTTTTTTTCTTGATTTCATGGCACACAGATTTTTCCCTGGAAATTTAGCTAAATTTATTGCTTATGTATAGACAAAACTTGGGTCCATCCCCGCCTCCTTTCATTAGAGATACCTGAATAGTGGAGCTAAGGTGAAGATACCACGTTTTCATTTCTTCTCTTCTTTACAACAAGCCTTAAAACTTGTTCACTGTTATTTCTTTTCCACACTTCCTACCTCATAGCTCCCTGGGAGCCTTCAGTATCTCTGCGGTTAATAACTGGCAGGAGTAGGAAAAAGCCTTGTTATACAACATTTCTCCTGTGTCCTAAAGCACCATGACCAATAGTTTATTTGGATTGTTAAAATGACATCATGCCCTTTGCTGATTCCTGTAGCCATGTGGTCCGGGGAAGGGAATCTAGTGCCTGGGAAGGAGGGAAAGGTTGCTACTGAACAGCTCATTTGGGGCAGTGGTCTCACTGTGCTGGTGTCTGTACTTGCTGGTTACAGTACTATACCCACTGAGGTTGTTTGAGGAAATCTGCTAATTGGAGTCAAGTTGATTGTGGAGGTACTAACTATGTCTGGCGAACCACCGCCATAGACAACATTTTTCTGTGTCCTCCCTCTCTGATTAATGGAGCACCAATAGACAAGGACATGGGTTGCTGCTAAAGGAAGAGACTAGAAGCATACTGGGTGGATGATGCATTGTCCTTACTAGTTACTGATGGCAGTAAAGCTATTGCTCTGAAAAGAAGGGAATTATGGCCTGCTTTTCTTGATGGTTATTTCTTCTATTCTTCCTCCTCTTCCTCTTCTTCATCTTCTTAACAAAGATTTTATTTTTAATTTTACCTGTATGGGTACTTTGCCTACATGTATGTAAGTGCACTGTGTGTGTGCCTGGTGCCCATAGAGGACAGAAGAGGGTGTTAAATACAGTTATGAGCTGCCCTGTGAATGCTGGGAGTTGAACTCTGGTCTCATGCAAGAAGCAATATGCATCCTTAACCACCAAGCCATCTTTCCATACCTTATTACTGAGCTTTTTAAAGTTCTAGCTTAAAATTATTTGTACTGTAGTCCTATTTAGATTTTGCCAGATACTCTGAGTTTGTGAACGTTAGGAAGTAGATTTTTCTTTTTCATTTAGCATAGTGTATTTAAGATCCTTAACCTAACTCCTTGTATTAAATTTCATTTTTTTTAGTTGTTGGATGACTTTTCATTAGATATAACTGCAGTGTTAACATGCTCACCTTGTTGTCGTATAGATTTTCCTCTTCTTTACAAATTCTCACCTGGTTATATGTAATAAAGAGACCAAAGCAAAGGCTTCAGAGAATGGGAAGAATGCTAGTTGCTGGCTCAGTTGCTTGGGGAATGTTCTCTATAGTGGCTTCCTTTGGGTGCCTGCATCTTTTCCTTTCCTCACTTCTCCAGGATGGAGTTGAGAGGTTTTTATTACCACAGAGTTTGACAAGTAGACATCTTTCTGTTGCTGGAGCAGTGCACTTGCAAGCATATCCTTCTCTTTTGACGTGTGTACTTGTCCCTTTTGTCAGAACACAGTTCTGAAGAAGTATGAAATGACCCTCTCTTACCAAAGAGTTCCCATCTTCACAATCACACATCTCACACACATTTTGAAAAGTCTGTACTCAGACTGAGCTTGGAGCAGTCATACCTTTGCTACAGTGTTCAGGAACTGGAGTACATAGCCTGTGATTACATATCATTCACTTGTTTAGACATTATGTTCATGGAGGTCATGGCAGGAAAAGGGGTCCGTGCTCAATGGAATAATTGAAGAAAGTTTAATAAAGTGATTCTTTATAAGCATGTTTTCAAAGTTAATGGGAATTCTTTAGATGTGATGGATGAATCATCCAAGAATAGCTAAGGTTCTTTGGCCTGCTTAGGGAGAGAGAGAGACATTCATGTCACAGATAGAGCTGCCTAAGGGGAGACAACCCTCTAAACAAGGGTGCAGGCAGCCTGTAGTAACCTGTTGGACAGTGTCTAGGCTTCACTGTGTTTCACCCTTTGATCTCTTGCCAGTGCCATTCATTGGTTGAAACATTGAATACCTTGTTGATAAATTTCTTAAAAGCTTAGTTTTGGAGCTTACAGAACAGTGTTGAGAAGGGTAGAGGGTAAGTGTGAATGAGTCAATAGAAGCTGTCCCCAACAGATGTTCTCAGTACTGTATGTGTGTCCACGTGCTCATGCACACACATGCGTGTTCATATCATTGTATGTGTGTGCATGTGTATAGAGCAGAAATTGGCATTGGGTGTCCTCTTCAGTTATCCTCCTCCTTTCTTTTTGAGGCAGAATCTTTTGCTTGTACATGGGTGGTACCATTTGGGTAGACTGTCTGGCTAGCAGGTTGCAGGGATCCTCTTGTCTTTGACTTCCCAGGCTGGGATGGCATGTGTGCACTGCCTCACTTGGCCTTTTTATATGGGCACTGGGAATCAGACTCAGGTCCTCATACTCTGCCACATACTTTACTGACTGAGTTGCCTCCCCATCCCTCATTGCTTTGTATAGGTAAGTTTGGTTGTATCCAGGAGATTATCTAGAAAGATAGAAGGACACCTGTGCTAATGAGTATTTACTGTTTTTAGATCATGGTCATTTAAAGGAGACCTTGAGGTAGAAATATCCCTAATGAAATTTGGATGTTGCTGGGTGGACCCCTCCCTCTCTGTTCCTGTTTGTTCTCTTTTTGTTTTTTGCACTGGCATTTGTCTAGCTTTAATGCTTTGTTTTTTTGTTTCTGTATTGGGCAACCTCTAGTGGCTCTTATGGAAATGACACTCAAATATGAACCCGTAAGTCTTATCAGGCATTTTGTTTGACATCTTGTTGTCTTCTGATCTTACATCTTACATGTTCTTTAGTAATAATACAATGTCAAATAGCAAAGATCACAAGCTTCTTTAGGAGTCTAGACAAGGAAGTAAGGAATGGACTTTTCAGTTTTTAATACTTGTACTAACATTGCTACAGAATGGTTCTTGGTTCTGAAAGATATCTCTGAAAACACCCAGAGAACAAACAGAATTCATTCCATGAAAATCTGGTAACAATACGCTCCAGGTAGACAGCCAGCAAGTCTATATTTTTGAAGACCAGAAAGTCTATTTGGAAAGATATCTTTATGTTGGCAAGAAGCGAATGTGGCAGAAATGAGGTCAGGGTGAAAGTCCTGCTGATTACTGGTTTGTGGTCAGAGGCTGTGCAGTATTTTTTTTTAAGTGTGCAGGTTCTTTTGTTGTTGTTTTTTGTTTTGTTTTTTTAAAAGTGTGCAGTGAAAGCTATTGGCTGGTGTGCAGTGAAAGCTATTGGAAAGGAAAGGACAGCCTCAGGTTCTGGCTGGAGGATGCTGCAGGAGTGATCATGAGGAAGAAGAAACTAAAGATGTGACTTTTATATTTGCATATTTGAGAAAGGACAAAGATAATAACTAGGCAAGGTTTTATAAGAATGGTTATAAAAGGATAGACTCTGAAAGTAGAGCCACAAGAACTTGCCAATGGATTATATGTAAGAAGTGAAGAAGTAAGAGTGAGTTCTAAGTTCTGATCCCTGCACACTGTGTTGCTTAGTCCTTATTTGGGAAAGTTTAAGAGATGATGATTGATAGTTTACTTTTTAATCAGAAATATAGCTGGCATCTGTACCAGTTAAGAATGAATGAATGCTGTGCTTTTGGAATGCCACATCTATTTGTGTTTTGAACTATTTTTATTCTCTTTCAGCCTTGGAAGAATTCTTTACATCCCTAGTGAAACAGGAGATGGTGAATATGCCCCGTGGAATATATCACTCTGCATTGAAAGGAGGCATGCGATCAGACCAAGGGAAGACAGTATCAGGAATCCCCAATTTTATATTGAAGATGTATGAAACAAACAAGCAACCAGGACTGAAACCTGGCCTAGCAGGTAAGAATACTGCACAGTGGTGAAGTGCAGGTTTATAGCCTCGTGTCCTAACTGTTATCTCCATGTGAATTATAATAGGTCACATTACAGTTACAATACACATTGCTGCTAACAACATTGCTAATAACATTTACACACAGCTGGAACAGTTTCAAAAACAACCAAACTTCAGAAGGGATTTGAAAACTGTATAAGCAAAGACTATAGATAGTTTTTTTTTTTTTTTTTTTTTTTTTTTTTTTTTTTTTTTTTTTTTTTTTTCCTAAAGCAAAAGAAATAAAGAGCTTCCAATTCCAGAGCAGGGAGAATATTTTAGAGTGTCTCTCCCCCCCCCCCTTAGAACATATTCACTATTCGGGTTATGGACTTGATTAGGAGCTGGTTTAGTCAAAGGCCAGTACTGATGGAGGAAAGAGCAACCATTGGCCAACAAATGCATAGAAACAATTTTAATATACTTAGCCATCAGGGAAATGCAAATCATGCCTCCACTGAGACTCAGCTCAACCCAGTCAAAATAGCCACTGTAAAGAAAATAAACAAGAAATATAGATAAAGACACAAAGAACAAGGCATGCTCATGTACTATTGTTGAAGCTGTAGATTAGTTTAGCCTCCTTGGAACTCAGTATTGATGTTTCCCAGAAGATGAGAACTAGAACTGCTATACGATCTCCCGTACCACTTGTTGGTTTTACCCAAAGTAATCAAAGTTAGCATATAATATAATATATTTGCACTTTTGTGTTTATTATGGCAGTGCTCACAAATTAACCTGTGTCTATCAATAGATGAATAGATAATAAAAACCCTGTAGTTTACACATCTATGGATTTTTAGGCCATTTAGAAAAGCAAAATCATTGTCATTTGCAGGAATAGTGTATGTTACCATATTAGGTGAGTAACATAAGTCAGATTCAGGATATTCTACATATTTGCAATCTAGATTTTTAAAATAGAACATGAACGTAGAGGAGATTCTTTGGGGTGAGGAAGGATGCTAAGAGGAGGTAGGAGCTAATAGGTGATACTAGCATAAACATGGTCAAAACACATGCACAGAAATAATATAATGGAACCAATTATTTTATACAGTGAACATACCAATAAAGATACTTTAAAAATTAATTGGAACTACACAATAGTGAGGACAGAACATATAACAGTTTGTAGAATGTAGCTTCATGTTTTTCTGTTGACTGATGGATTTTGTGTTTGTACATATGTATGGGCAGTTGGTATATGTTTATGAAGATGTACAGTTCCTGTTGGAGTGCTTGGACTTGTGTGTATGTGTGTGTTTATAGAGGTCAGAGGAGGACATAGCATGTCCTTATATATCACTTTCCATCTTATTCCTTTGAGACAATGTATCTCACTGAACCTAGACCTGTGCTAGTAGCTAGCAAGCCCCAGGGATCTGCATGGTTCCATCCTCACAGGATTAGAGTTATAGGTATACATGTGACCATGATTGACTCTGTGCATGTGTATGTGTATATGTATGTGTGTCTGCTTGCATATCTTAATTTGCTTTCTATTACTGTGATAAAACACCATAACCAAAAGCAAACTTTGGGAGGGAAGGTTCATTTAACTTACAGTTTACACTCCATCACTAAGAGTAGTCAGGGCAGGAATTCAAGACAGGAACTAGGAAGCAGGAGCTGAAGCAGACTACTGAGTAATGCTGCTTACTGATTTGCTCCCCATGGCTCTCTCCCAGTCTGCCCTCTTATAAGACCCAGGACCATCAGCCCAGGGGTGACACTGCCTACAGTGGGCTGGGTCCTCCCTCATCAATCAATATTTAGAAAATGCCCCAAGGCTCTGCTACAGGCCAGTATGATGGAAGCATTTTCTCAATTGAGGTTTCTCTTCCCAGGTAATTCTAGGCAAAAAAAACCTAGCTAGCACAGAAATGTATACGTTCAGTGTACATAATAGAAACGAGGAAAGGAAACAAAACTTCTGTCTAATAGAGCTTGGGGAAGAATAGAAAAATCAAGTAAAGATCATAAAAATATATAATCAAATTTATAAGGATACTCATCAACTGAAGGTTTAACAAAAATCAATAAATACAGAAGGCTGAGAATGCCTAGATGAGTAGCAGCAAAGAAAATGCTACTTCAGATCCTATACTGTTCAGAAAGATAAATGCTACATAGAACTTTTAGTCAGTGTTCTGCAAAATTTAAGTGAAGATACAGAAGTTCCTCCTGATAGGAGAAAGAGAGTTTATGAACAATTTGATAGTGACTGAAGAAATTCATCATCTAACCTAATAATCCTCCTACAAAGAAAGCTTAGGTACTGGTGGCTTCTTGATGAATTCTTCTAATGTTTGTCAAGAAAGAGGGAAATGGTACTAAATTTATATAGACTGTTGCAAGAACAGAGAGAAAATGAATACTTCTTCATGGGACCAGCATAATATTAACACCAGAACTGCATCACCCTTTTCCAGTGAGCACCATTGGGAAGATAAGGTGGGAGGGAGCTTTACTTAAGCAATATGTGTAAAGGATAAGACAGAGTTAACTTAATGTTTTCAAGCTGGGATAATTCATTGTTTTAGTTTACAAAGGTTGGTCAATCTTTAAGTAGATTCAAATGTGCAGGAAAAAATTCTGAAAAATTTAGCATATTTTTATGATGGCAAAAAGACTCTTATTAAAAACTATGTAGAGATCAAAACTTGCTTTGTTCTGATAAGGAATAACCACCAACACATACTTGTAGTTAATCCTGAAATATTGAGACTTTGCTGTCTGATTACAGAAAAATGTGTGAATGTTATTATTACCACTCCTACTCAGTATTTTACTAGAGGCCATAACTAGTGCAGTCAGCCAAGGAAAAGAAATAAAAGTCACAAGGATTCAAGAAATAAAACACTCATTACTTGCAGATGGCATGATTGTATTCATAGACAATCCAAAATAATCAATGGATAATTATTAGAATTAATAGTTGCATATCATTTATATATGTATATATATATATATATACATATATATGTATTTACACATACATATATACACACACATACTCAAAAGTGAATATATAAACCAGTTGTGTGTTTTATATACTATAATAAATAGAAAATGAATTTTAAAAACTAATAACATCATAAAAATTGAGTATCTAAAACAAAGCAATATCTGTATGTTCATAGCTAGAAAATAATATTGACAAACAATAAATGCAGTGATACATGGTATTTATGGGTTAGAAGACTGCATATTGTAAAATCTAAGTTCTCTTCAAATTAATATATAGATTCAAGTAAATCATAATCTGTAGCCCAGTAAGTTCTTGACAATTGACAGTCTTATTCCAAAAATTGTGTGGAAATGCAAAAACCCAAGAATAACCAAGGCAGTCTTGAAGAACAGCAGCAACAATGTAGGAAGACATACATTATCATACGTCAAGACCAACTATAAACCCACAATGGTTATTAGTGGGGTGTTGGTGCAATGACCAAACGAATACAGAATGAAACATGCATGCATAGCCAATTTGTCACTAGATTTATAGCAGTGATGTAGAGAAAAGCCAAGATCTCTTTAATAAAAAGCTCTACAGTGTTTATTTTTACCTAATTTGTGTGTGTCTGAGGAGTGTGGTCCATATGTCCATATGTGTCAGGGGTGCACATGTATGACATTGTACACAAAGGAAAGTGTTTTCTTTGGTCCTCTACCTCATCTGAGTGAGGGCCTCACACTGCACCCAGAGCTTATGGATTATGCACATTGGTTGGCCCAGTGAGCTCTGGGGGGTCTACTGATCTCTGCATACCCAGTGCTTGCCAATCACATGCCACTATACTTTGCTTGTATGACAATACTAAGTAAGTACTGAGCTTAAGTCCTCATATTTGTGTGGCAAGCACACAGTGCTGACTAAGCTTGCATTGAAGACATTTTTGGTACACATATCTGATAAAGGACACATGGAGAATGTATAAAGAACTTTTGCGAAATAAAAAAAATATTAGCAAAACTAGAAATCATTTGAGTTGACACTTCAAAAACAGGGTATTCCGCCATCACATATTTTCACCGATAACTGTTGCTTCCTGCAATGTGAAGTTTTTCCAATGAATGATAGGCTCAGCATTAATCAATGAGTACAACACGAGTAGTTAGACAGCAGTTTGACAACATGACCTTAGTGGTAGGTTCCTCCCTAGGACCTATGACTTCCCCAGCCATGGTCTTGAGTAGACCATTGACAATTAAGTGTGTGGGGGAGGGGTGCTGTTTTCTTCTGCAGCATAGCTACTGATGAGTTGCCCCCTTGCTCTAGGAATAATCTCCTACCTATGCTTGGTCAAGAAACTATGATTAAACTCATTAGATCACATACTAAAGGGAGATAGGAAAGTAGGAAGGGCTTATTGGACGGAGGATTCCAGCAGGAGACAGATGGGAGGAGAGGGGGACCAGGTGGAAATGATTAAAATTCATTATGTAATTGTGTGACACAAACAGGATTTAAAGAAGTTTTCACATGTCCAGTAAACATGAGAAGATAATCAAATTTAACATTTAAAAAAACCCGGGTTAAAACCATACTAAGATCACGTTTCATTCCATTGGAATTAATAAAAGATGAAAATTACAAAGTACAGTTGGTCCTATATTCCCATGTGTTTTATATCTGAGGAGTCAACCAACTGCACATCAAAAATATTTGTAAGAAACTTTGCAGTTGTACTGAACACATGCACATCTTTTCTTGTTTTTAGTCCTCTAATAATACAACACAACAACTGCTTAAGCCACATCTGATGTCTGTGTTATATTTGTTATAAAGAATATAGAGATTCATAGGAAATATAGGAGACAGTGAATAGATTATATGCAAATACTGTGAATGAATATTCATTAATTTTGCTAACCACAGGAGTTCCTGGAACAGTTCTCATCGATACCAAGGAATAACTGTTGGTGAGGTAACTAAGACAACTGTTGCGAATATAAGTTGCAATGATATTTTGAAAATTGATTCTGAGCAAATTCCTACATTACTTGGATTTTTATTTTTGCTAAATTGAAACCTGATTGCTGGTACCAGAGACAGAGTTCATAGCAGTACTGTTTGCCTAGTGCTTAACTCAGGAGCTATCTAAGTGTATGTGTGCAGTAAAATGAGTAAACCAATGTTGCATATTCATATGAAAGAATATGATGAGATAATGAGTATACAACTGTCAATAAGAGTAAGATGATTCTCAAAATAATGAGGGTGAGCAAAATAAGTCAGATGTGAAAGCATCTTCATACTCTAACTCATTAAAAAAGACATGATAGGCAAAGTGGCTGTTAGAGGTTGTGCTGCCAGTGGAGTTGGAGGTGTGACTGGAAAGTGTACCCAAAGACTTTTGAGATACACATAATCATTATTGCTTCTTGATCTGTGTGGTAGTTTGAAAGAAAATGACCCCAAAAGGGAGTGACATTATTAAGAGGTGTGGCCTTGTTGGAGTAGATTTGATCTTGTTGGCATTAGGGTCACTGTGGAGGCAGGATTTGAAGTCTCATATATGCTCAAGCCATGCCCAGTAAGTCAGCCAACTTCCTGTTACCTGCAAGATATAGCACTCTCAGCTCCAGCGCCATGTCTCCCTGCATGCTGCCATGCTCCCTGTCACAATGATAATAGCCTGAACCTTTGAAACTATAAGTGAGCCACCCAAATTAAATGTTTTTCTTATAATAGTTGCCACTGGCAGTGGGTCCAAGATATTAACTCTGGTGTATAAACTTACTTAGTGGAGCCCATTCTGTATGGAGAGATTTTTGCTCAGCCTAGACGCAGGGTGTTGGGATGGGGGGGGGTGCCTTAGTACTGTCTCAACGAGATGAGATGGAGTTAGTAGACTTTCCAGGTCCTTACCCTCTCTGAGGAATAGATAGAGGTGGAGTTGGGGAGCTCGTGGTGAGGTAGGAGGAGTGGAGGGAGGGGAACTGGGATTGGAATGTAAAAATAAATTAATGAATTAAAAAAAGATAGGATTCTGGCCACTGAGATGGCTCATCTGAAAGAAAAGAAAGAGTTGCTGTGGTTATGGTGTCTCTTTACGGCAATAGAAACACTAACTAAGACAATCTGGGTCCTGCTTAGACATGTCTTCTCAGTGCAAGACAATTTACTTGGCTGTTTTTATAAAGTATGTGCTTTTCTCTGGCATATACTAAGAATAGATGTTGAAAAATGTCTGTGTATTTTATGTTGTTTTGGTCCTTGAATATGTCTTTTCATTAGCTCAGAATCACTAAGTTTCCAGAAGTTACCTAAGGGAGCTCTAAGTTACCTCTCAGGTTCTTTACTGGCTTCCTTGGCTTTTGATTGATTGGGGGGCCTAGCTGGTGTGGGACATTTAGTTGAGAATTCAGTTACCCATAGTTACAAGGCAGGGAAAAGAGGGGCAACCAAAAGCCTGCTGATACAGGTGTGAGCTCAGCTTGTTCATGTGTGTGCATAGACTAGGGGCCTTATGTTCTCAAGAATCAACATAGATTAATATGTGCACATACTTTTATTTACTGAAACTCATTATAGAATACAGCTTAATTGTACCAATGGTTTACAAAATGTGGAATAAATAAAAAATTCTAAATTTGCTTTTTTGTAAATGTATATACTGATAAACATTAGTTATAAGTGGCGTGTAAATAAGTTATATTTTAAATGTTAATTTTTGTATCCTGTTTTTTACCTTCTTTTGACACCAACATTCAAAAACAATAATTTGCTTGACAATTTATGTGTTCATTTGTAAGTTTTCTATCAAAATTGGATGAGTGAAATATATAATTCACAGGGTTTTTTTTTTTTGTGTGGTTGAAAATGCTCATTCTGAATTTCTTTCTTTTGAAAGGTGGCATGCTGTTTTGCTATGATGTTCCCATGTATCAGAGTAAAGATGGCAAGCCATTGAATCGGCTGATGGCTAGTAGAGGGCGAAACTTCAAGCAGACATCACTGGCCCTTGTCCATGAAGTAGGTGCTGTTCTATACCCCATCAGCCTCTTGCAGTTCCTCCATTCCCTTTGTGTATATGGAATTGTGTGTGTTTGGACAGCTGTTTTCTTTGCCACAGTTAGTACAGATTGCTTTTAATAGCTTCCAAAATAGCTGACCAAATAGAATATTAAGTCGAGTGTTTTTGTAAGAGACAGTTGAAACTTCCTCACCACGTAACAGAATCTTTAGGGAGTAGTCTCTAAGGATTTTACTTGTATACTTGTTTCAGCAATGTTTACCTTCCATTGTTTAGATTGAATTTTAACTCAATGAAAAAGTACTACCCATTTTTCTCTTAAAAGTGTGTGTGTGTGTGTGTTAGCATATGTGTGAATGCTATAATGTATGTGGGGACAACTTGTAGGGGGTGGTTTTCTCTTTCCACCATGTAGGTTCTGGGGTTCGAACTCAGGTCATCACACTCAGAGGCAGGTGCTGAGCATCCCCCTCACTCCCTTTCTTTTAGATTTTAATTATTTATTTAGTCTGTATTGCATGCACTTGGAAGTTACAGGGTACCCTGTAGGAGCCAGCTTTTCCCTTCTACCTTGTGGATTCTTGGAATTGTTGGGCTTGACAGCAAGCAAGTGCTTTTACCCAGGAGTCATCTTACTGACTCTTACAAAGTATTTGAAGTCTTTTATGAAAGCAGTGCTCTGTCCTGCCAGTCAGCTCCCAAATAATGACATGGAAACTTCTTATTAATTATGAAATCTTGACTTATAGCTCAGGCTTGTTCCTCTTATAACTTAAATTAACCCATTTATATTAATCTACATCCTATCACATGGTGTTACCTCTCTTCCATCTTGTATCTCCTGTTTTCTCTCCCCACGTCTTCTAGTATCTCCTCCTTTCTTCTTCCAAGAATCCTCTATGTCTCTGGAAGTCCTGCCTAACCACTTCCTGCCTAGCTATTGGCCATTCAGCTCTATATTAAACCAATCAGAAGATACCTTAACAAAGGCACATCTTCACAGTATAAACAAATACTCTGTAATGTAACAGTGTCTCTCATGCAATTAAAGAGAGAAAAGTCTGGGAAGAGTGATGTTTCTTTGGTGTCACAATGTTTAAACAAAGTAGCGGAAAACAGATCATTTCTGTATCTACTATTCCCAGGCATCTTCTTGGTTGGCCTGGAAAAGAAACTGATGTGCTACCTTCATCATTTTAAGCTCTACATGTAGGTATTTTCAGGACACATCCAAATTTAAACTCTTCATGAAAATCAGATTTGAAAAGTTATAGAATGGAATTTTTAAAAAGGTGTGGGCTAGTCGAAGCTATCTGTTAAATTTAGCCAATGTATCAGAAGCTATGAGATAAGCTCCACATATGAACAGAGAAAGTGTCTGGATTAAGATGCTTATAGCTTATGTTAGAGATGGCCTAGAAAAATCTCAGAGGGGTGAGAAAATGACTATTATTTGGGAGTCACTTAGAGGACCTTTTGAACAGAATTTTGTGAAATCTAGGATGGGATTTTAGTTCAGATTCAGTTCACATGGCCCAGTGTTTAACTGTGTTTACTGTTGTTATGAAAGATTGGAGTTTGGTTTCAAACACCCATTTTAGGCAACTCACAACTGTCTATAACTACAGCTTTAGGGGATGCAATATCCTCATCTGGCCCCCATGCACACCTCAATGCACATGTGAACACACACACACACACACACACACACACACACACACACGCAGAGAGAATGATCCATTAGTTTGCTGAACTATTTAACCGGAATTAATGAGGGTTTTAAAGAGCTGACTAATAACAATCACATAATAACAATGTATAATCAGATTGTGCATTTTAACAGTTATTGTATCACTACCATTGCCCATCTGTGCATACAGTATATGTCCCTACCATCAGGTATTTCATCTTACTGCTTTTTGACTTTTTGATGCTCCAAAAGTTATATGGCTTTAGTAGAAGCGATACTTCGAACCTGCATTTTTCTTGGGCTAGCAACATACAGAGCAATGCTCTCTCTTGATCCTGCGGCGCAAGGGCAGCAAATTGCAGCTCAAGCCACCTCACTACTGGGTTAAACTGCTGTATTGTGCAGTCTACTACTGGGTGGCTGAACAATGATGCCTGGGAAGTTGGGTTAATTAAGTGTGTTTTCAAGTTAGGGCATTTTCAGTTTGTAATGGTTTCTTAGGATGTGACCTCGGAATTATAAGCAGAGGAACACAGTATACTCATTCATTTAATCAGCACATCCACATTCTGAGGTAGGTCCTGTTAATTTGTTCAAGATCATAAAGCAGCTAAGTGGAAGAGTCTGGAAATTGAACCCTGGAATTCAATTTCAGTTTGTTACTGTAGAGCTTAGCAACCATATCAAGTGAATTTTTGAAACTTTCTTTATTAAGTCCACAGCTTTTACTTATTTTCTTTTTGGCTTTTCTTTGGCATTTCTGATTTACCAGTATCACCACTCATAAAACTTAGAGCCACTATTAAATAAAATATGGGTTACTTGAATACAAGCTCAACAACACCTTGAGAATTGATATGATAACTAACTCAGAGAGTTATAAAGTGAGTAAAGACTGAGGGGCATGTAGTGCATACAGCCTGGATCCCTGGGCAAAGGGATGTTTCATGTCCAGAGTGGTACAGTGATCCTATAAACACACTTTTATAGTAATTCCTCACTGAATTGCTCAGATATCTTTGTGTGGCCATCTGTTTTCATTTTCTTGAAGCAGTGAAATAGCCAGGAGTGAGACTGTTGGGGTATTTGGTAAGTGCAAATAAAACTTTTTATAAAGCTAGTAGACTGTTTCCCAGTGGCTGTCTCCTTGTGGGTGCCCCTCTAATATGCAAGAGTTCTCTGCCTACCTCCCTACTAATGACAGGAATTGTTAGCTTTAAAGACTTTAGGTGGTTCATTCCTGTACTGATATATGGTGTTCAGCATCATTTTACATGTTCCTTTGTCATCCTTACTTTTCCATGGCGTGTCTGCTTTGATATTTTCACTATTTTTCCCCCTGAGGTCTTATTTTCTAAAGAAGGGACTTTGTACATTCTAAATATAAATCTTATGTTAGAAATGAGTTTTGAATTTTTTTACCTAGTTCCATCATTTTCTTAAAAATGACTTTCTTTTGAAAATCAGATTTTTATTTTTTAAGACTCTAAATTGTCATCTTTTTTCTTTTTATGGCTCTTTTTTTGTCTGAAGCAAGATTACGTGAATGAATTTGCATTTTTGTCTTCTGTTTAACTTTTATTCATTAATTTTAAAAGTAGAGGTATAATTCATGTGTCCTAAAACCCTCCCATTTTGTGAACATACTCAAAATATACGGTTAATTGGGTCTGGCTACTTTGCAGGTAGGGTGGCTTTTAAAGTTTGTTCATGTTGTACCACACATTGGTTCTGTATTGTTTTCATGGCAGAACAGTATTTTAATATGTAGGTGTACCACATCTAGTGTATTTATTAGTTTGCAGATAGGCTATGTTTTCGTGTGGAGGTTTTACACTTTGAATCATGCATTTTAGGCTGCAACCCATTAGAGTTTAATGTTTGTATAAGGACGGGTTATTGTTTTTATAAATACATCCTTTACTGGATTACTGAAATGCCTTTGTAAAAAATCACCCCCACTCTCTCTCTTCTTCTGTCCCTCTCTCCCTACCTCTCTGGAGTGTGTGTTTGCGATTTCTGTTACCATAGTATGTGTTATTGATCTATATTTCTGTACTCTCACCCAAATTATGCAGCTCAATTATTGTTACCTAGTATTAAGTCCCACAGTGAAGTAGTATGATTTAATTCAAGGCCATTTGCCTTTCTATATAATTATAAAAGCAACTTTGAGAGATCACATGCCTTCCTGCTCTGATATGGATTATGAATGTACCAATTCTATAAGCCAATTGGCAGGAAACTGAAATCCTAGGAACACTGAGTCTCTACTTTCATGAACAATGTGTATCTTTGCATTTAGTTAGGTTAACATTTTGTTTTTATATTATAAACCTGTGGGTGTTTTGTTAAATTTGGTAACCTTACATAACCTAAGCGTTTTGCAACTAGGATTCATTCTGTTTGACTTTCTGTTCATTGCTACTATGTAAACACAATGATTCACTTCTCTTCCTTTACTATAGCTGAATAGTAAAGCTTGAGGTCCCATCCTCACACTTGCCTAATATTCCTCATGTTGTATTGGCTCTTTTGCCTTTTTAAAGATTATTTATTAATTTACTATTTTCATGTGTGAGTCTGTGCATGCCTACATTTATATTTATGCACCACATGTGTGCAGAAGAGGTCACCAGTCCCCTGAAACTGGAGTTACACTCCACGTGGGAACAGAGCCTCAATGCTCTGCAAGAGTAGTAAGTGCTCTTAACTGCTGAGCCATCTCTCCATGCCCTCATTCTCCTTCTCCTTTTCTTTTCCATATGAGGTTTGGAATCAGTTTGCTGGCATTTCTGAAATAACATCCCAGGATTTGATTGGAATACCTACTGGGGTATACAGTTCTTGTTTTATATTTCTATTCATGAGCATAGAGTATCTCTCCATTTATTTGATTCATTCTTTATTTTTCATAGTTTATAGTTTTCCTCATGTTTATCTTGTAAATATTTTCACACATTTCATTTTGGATGATATTACTGTGTCACTGAGTCTCAAGCTTTAATATCCATTTTATTCACTGTAGATATGTAGGAAAGCAATTGGGTTTTGTGTATTAATCTTGTATACTCTAGTCTTGCTGAAGTAACTAATTCCTGGAATTTTTTTTGGCTAGTTTATTTGGATTTTATATGTAAATATTTATGTTGTCTGTGGCAGAGGTAATTTCATTTCTTCTTTTTCTTCAGTATATGTTATACTTTCTGTTTCTATCACCTTGCCTCAGTGAGGGCTTCCAGTATGATGCTGAAAAAGACTGCTGAGAATTGACATCTCTGCTTTGTTAGGATCCCAAAATACAGCCAT